TTTTTTTGCAGTACTGGGGATTGAACTCAGGCCCTTATGCTTGCCAAGGAAGCACTTATTCCAGTGAGCCATCTCCCCAGTCCCCAAATGACAGAAGGATTTTTTTTTGGTGGGGGGGGCTGCCTTCAGGGTAGGTGGTTTGGTTTGGGTATGAGGGATTGAACCACAGCATCCTGAGCCTGACTGCTTTGTTTCAGCGTACACTTAAACACTGAGCTACTGGGCAGGCCCCCCAAATTTTTCTTTCTTCTTTTTTTTTTTTTTTTCCTGGTACCAGGGATTGAACTCAGGACCTTGGGCTTGCCAGGCAGGCACTTAGACTGCTGAACTATCTCCCCAGACAGATTTGTTGGTTTTTTGAGACAGGGTTTGGCTGTGTAATTTAGAGTACCCTTAAACTCTCTGTGTAAAACAAGCTGGCTTTTAGCTTTTTGCAATCCCCCTGCCTCAGCCTCCCTGGCACTGGGAGCACAATGTGTGTCATCATTCCCAGCACATTGTTGCCTCTTAAAAATGCATCATCTCATTTCTTTTACTTTGCTGGGTCTTTTTCTCCTAGCACATAGGGCTTAATACACTATACATCTGTTATTTACTATTTATGTTCTGTATTCCTTAGTAGAATATAAACTACAGGTTGAAGATAAACATCTTTATTTGTGTTCTCTGAGTATTCCAAGTGCCTCCAACTATACCTGGTAGATAGATGGTGCTCAATAAATACGGAATGAGCAAATTGGTAAAGGCAATCTAAGTGCCAGGTACTATTGTTTGTTTTGGTTTTTGTTCCTGAGACAGGGTCTTTCTGTGTGGTTTAAGCTAGTCTTGAACTCACTATGTACCCCCGACTGGCCTTGAACTCCCTGTGATCCTCCTGTGGCAGCCTGGGTGCTGGGATTATAGGCGTGCACCCCCACACCTGGCTTCCAGGTTCTTGGCTCTGAGGAAACAACAAAATATTCCCTGTCCAAAAGAGACCCACGTGAAAGCATGCTTAAACCAATAGCCTGTCTTCTAATCTTGCCTCTGTACTTTGTTTCTTGTGAGATGTACAGCAAGTTAACATCTCCAAGTTTTGTGTTATCAGTAGTTATGAGAATTGAACACAGCAAAACAAAGAAACAAACAAAAAAACCAAAACAAGTATCAGAGTAGCAGGTGGCATAAAAAACAAAACACATTTAACATTTGTTTCCTTTCTTTTCAGGCCGGAGTTCTCGGAGTCTAAAATCTGTGTCACGAGTATAGGTAAGGTTTTCATAATGATTTGGAAAAGTAAGAAAAGGTTGCCATATAGCTAAGTAGGCTTACCCCAAATTTTTAACTGTGAAGATGTTTTGATGAGGTATTGCTCAACGGTCAGAATGAGAAACCTGGAGGTAGCGTCTAGGCTCTAGAGACACTTCACCGTGTTACCTCGCAAAAACCTTGTTGCCTCCCAGAAGTGATTGGGGTGTAAGAAAAGTGAGAGTAGTTTGCTACACCCGAAAACTACAAGTCCCAGAATTCTCTACGGCGGACAACTACGGGTCCCAGAAGATTTCTCTAGCTGATCGAGAGGGCTCTCTCACGACCTGCAGACTGGGTTCTTCCAGAGGATGAGGGGCGTGCCCAAGCGTCGGCGGGCTTTAACGTCACTGCGCAGACGCCACCAAAGGGCCGGACGTGACGTAGGGAGAGTTCCGACTTTGGCCTCCGCCGCTGCCTCCGCTACTACAGCCGTCGCCGCTGCTGCCCCCAGCGCAACCGCGGCTTGTTATTCCTAAAATGGCGCCGCTAGATCTGGATAAGTATGTGGAGATAGCGCGGCTGTGCAAATATCTGCCAGAGAACGACCTGAAGGTGAGCCCGGGCTGGGGAAACCCTGCTTGCGGGGCTCGCCCCTTCCGGCTGTGGGGCGCCCGCTGGCCCGCCCTTCCTCTGCGCGGGACCCCCTGCCGGGTGTTCTGTCTCGGCGCGGTGGAAGGGTCTTCGTGATGCGAGGCGGCCGGGTGTGACTTGGCGTCTCCAGTGCGCAGGGCGAGCTCGTGTTCCTCATACTGTTGTGCCGGCTCGGTGAGCGGGGATCCTGAGAGATGTCTCGGCCTCCGTCCTGAGGTCGTTCCTCCGGGCCGTCGAGCTGTTGCAGCACTCGGAACCCATAGCAGCTTTGCTTAAAATATTCTTGTCCTTTCTTTCTTCCCCTCATGCCCGAGTCCCCGGGAGTCCCAGCCGAGCTCCAGCGGGCAGTGCTTTCGGGATAGGGTGAACCCTACCAGAAGTGACAGGTGCGCGCAGTGACCGCATCTGACAGGATGTGCCGCCGCTCCTGGGACGTGATGCCTGTGTGTTCTGGCAGTGGACTTGAGTGGTTAGGCAGTGGTGTGCAGGAGTGTCAAGTTGCCCCTCTCTCCTCAGCACTCCTCTCAATTGCTTTTTAGAAGTGTTTTCTTAACGCCAATTCAGATCTGAACCCCATTTCACAGAACATTGTTGAGCTAATTTAAACGAATAGACTGTTGTCACTGAGTACACATTTAAAAAATATGCATGTCATTTATTTTTATTTTTTTGTTTGTTTGTGTTGCTGGGAATTGAACCTGGGACTTTATGGATGCCAGGCAAGTGCTTTACCAACTGAGCTACAGCCCAGCCCCAAGTACAAATACTTCTGTCCTTTAGGGTCTTTCTCCACAACTCTTTGAACTGAAGATTTCATTTTCTTGGTTTTCTAAGGTGATGACTTAGTGTCCAGATGAAGAGTAAAAGTCCACATAAGAGTGAATGTAAGGGGCAGGGGAGATGGCTCAGTAGACAAGTGCAAGGACCTGAATTCAATCCCTGGTTCTGCCCCCCCCCAAAAAAAGAGAGAGAATAAATGTATGGGTAAAGGAATAAATGATAGAGTCAAAGAATGTAAGCTTTTGGTATACTGTATGTTTGTGAAAAGTGTTTCTGTAATTTTGCAAAAACTAGTGCTTAAATTTTTGGGAGTGATTTTTTTTGGTTTTTGTTTTTGTTTTGAGACAGGGACTCACCATGCAGTTCAGGCTGGCTTTTTAAGCTCACTTTTAATTGTCCCAGGTTCAATTCCCAGCAACACAAATAAACAAAAAATCAAAATAAAAAGTGTCCCAGGCTGTTCTTCATCTCGCAGTGATCCTCTTGCCTCTGCTTCCTGAGCACTGGGATTACAGGCTTGCGCCACAATCCCCAGCTCCGGAGTGTTAATCATTAGTATTGGTGTCTGTTTTATTTATTTATTTATTTATTTTATTTTTATTTATTACATTTAT